AGATGAGGTATCAGGCATCAAAGAACAAAATATCCTATCATTGTGAATGAGGGGGAATGCGGGGTGGGGACCCAAAGCCCATCTGTAGGCAACTGGACATCCCCTTACGGAAGGGTCGAGGAGAGGAGACGAGCTAGTCAGGGTGCAGTGTTGCAATAATGAAACATACAACTTTCCTCTAGTTCCTAAATGCCCCCCCCCCCCACTATCATGATACCAATTCTACCTTACAAATCTGGCTAGACCAGAGGATGTACACTCGTACAGATAGCAACTGGAAACACAGGAAATCCAGGACAGATGATCCATTCAAGACCATTATGAGAGTGGCGATACCAGGAGGGTGGAGGGAGAGTGGGGTAGAGAGGGGGAACCAATTATAAGGATCTACATATAAGAGGGTTCATGGGGGAGGGAGAGCAGGGAGGGAGGGGGGAAATGAGGAGCTGATGGCAGGGGCTTACGTGGAGAGCAAATGTTTTGAGAATGATGAGGGTAACAAATGTACAAATGTGCTTTACACAATTGATGTATGAATGGATTGTGATCAGAGTTGTATGAGCCCCCAATAAAATGATTTTTTTAAAAAGAAATCTAAAACAAGATAATTACATTTAATGTGGTCTCAAATTGTGTCGTTAGCAGCTAACAGGCATAAAACCAAACCCTCAATCCAAGTACTTAAATGATATCTAGATATAAAAATTGGAAGGGAAATAAACAACTCAAAATTTTAAATACAGATATGGCATCACGAATGGAATAAGAAAGGGATAGAATGGACATAACATGCTGAGAAACAAACATTTCAGAGTCTAGAATTTTCACAGCGCAATACATGGAAGAGCCTAATAAGTCCCGAGCAAGATAAACAAAATACGTGCCTAGTCACTTCACAGTAAAATAACAATGCATACTTTGGTTAAAGTAATAAAGGGAAAGTTTAAAAATACAAGCAAGGAACAAGAAACCAACCAAAGGAGATGAAAAACCATTTCTAGAAATGAAGATTATCATCATTGAGCTTACAAACACATTATATAAATACCAATCAGCACGTCAGAAGCAACTGGAAATCTTGGGTAAGCCTAAGGAAATAATCCAGCGTGCAGAGCAGAACTATCCAGGGAGAGAAATGGTAAAGATCCGCGCCCACTACCACTGAGTTGGTTCTGGGCCACGACAACCCTGCTCGCAGGGCTGCCAAAGCTGGGACGTGCTCACAGCAGCAGACTGCCTCGCCGCTCCCTCAAAGCAGCGATGGGTTAGCCGCACAAGGGCTGCTTTTAGAGACTCGGACATAACATCAGAAGCTCTAACATTTTTTATTGAGCTCCAGAAAGCGGTAATAGAGAAATGGGAAGAAGTCATATTTGCAAAAATAGTGACAAAGAATTGTAACACTTCAGAATTGTGAAGGATTCCTCAGATCCAGGAAGCCAACATCTCAAGCAGGATAAACACACAAAAAATACATTTTAAAGTTATCGCAAAGTAAAATTGAAGCTGGCATCAAAAAGAGTATGTGGAGGCTTTCAAATTAAGTTAGTCAAATAAAAAATAAAACAATACAGCCAAAGGGGCATGAAATCTAACTTCTCAACAATAACTGAGAGAAAAACAGGATACCTTTAAACACACCTTTACAACTAAGAGGATTCTCACCTACAGGAACTTCTACAGGGGGCATGTCGGACAAAAAGAAGTAAGATCAGAGAAATGACATGAAATAGTGAACAAAGACTTTGGATAAGTCTAAAGAACTAATATTCGTATATGTGCATTTTAACCCTATACCGCCTGAACTTTTAATTTCAGGGGAAAAATTTTTTTTGTTTTTATGCTTTACTTTCATAGTTATGAATATATATATTAATATATACATTTAATTAAATTTTACGAAAATGTCACGCTAGGCATTATAGTTAGGTCAGAAAAAGCAAAATAGACGCAAAATGTTAGCCAATAAAATGTGAGATTTGGGAAGGGGTGATCAGAGCCAAAGTAGACAAGGTTCTTTATACTTTTGGGGAGGAGTACAAACATATTAATTACCTTTGGAGCTGAAGTACAGACCTCTAGATTACATAATTTCCAAACAAGTGTATACATACATGTGTTTGAGGGAGTGAATGTAATAAAACGAGAAAAGAAATGTAGAGGATTCAGAAAAAGCAAAAGTAAACAAATTAAACATCCAAAGACAAGGACTGTCAAAACTAACCAAAAGAAATCTGGCAGAGATGCCACTAAAGAAAAAGTCATATATAAAAGAAAAAGCATAATTCATCAGGATTAGGAAAAAATTCTAAACATGTATATCATAACAAAGCCTCAAAATATAGAAACTAAGGAATTTACTAAACTACAAGGAAAGGTCATCAAATCTATCAAAGTGAGATATGCTCAAATTTTTCTCAGTAATAATGGATTTTCAAAAAGATGATAGACGAGTATGCAGATCAACTACAAAGCTTTAAAAATTCAATAAATTTTATTTATTTATTTAAATAAATAAATAAAAGCTTTAAAAGTTCATAGATACACCTACTCCTCACTATCTTCTTACATGACATTTCATATTTATAATAGTAAAATATCAACTACCTATTTGCATGCACTGACAATAACAAAGACTGATGTGTTACGTGAGAGATGCTAACTGTGGTAATTAAGGCTCTGTCAGTTTGGCTAGGCCCTGATTCTTAGTGGTTTGGCAGTTATGTAATGACATCATTTGGTAGCTGTGTAATGATGTGATCATCCTCTATTTTGTGGTCTGATGTGGTTACATCCATTTTCACACATTTCCAATTTCTGCACAATGACTTGGTCTTTGGAACCTAGCCATGTCAGTATGTGAGTGTTGGATGTATACACACTGCTCCCAGCCATCAAAAATATTCATTTCTTTTGAGCATAAATGAGCCATGTAGAATAACTGACCAAAGAGTAAACCAACAAATTTCAATACTGAAATCATACAGACTCAGAGACAGTTTACCAGAAAAATTTCATACATCTGCAAATTTAAAGACACTTTTAACAACTAGTCAAATAATTGAAATGCAAATTATAAAATATTTAGTTAAAAATAATTTAAAATATTATATATCAAAAGCTTTATTCTATCACAGCTTACTTTAGAAAAATACGACGGCTCAAGATTAGTGAGCAAATTATCTTAACTCATATTTAGAAATATAATGAAAGAATAAACAGAGCAGAAAGGAGAACCTTATTAAAATAAAAGTAGAAATTAATTAAATTGGAAATAAACATCCTATGTAAAGGTTCAAAGTAAAAATAAAGTACTTGGAACAATAACAAAATTGACAAAACTCTGACAAGATTAATCAAGGAAACAAGACATAAATATCATTAAGAATGAGAAAAACGGAAGAAGCACACCAGCCTGTGCCATCATGAGGAGTTGAAGGGATCAGGTATCATCAAAACAAAAAATCTTATCATTGTGAATGAGGGGGTGGAGTGCGGAGTGGAGACCCAAAACCCATTTGGAGGCC